GATCTCCTAATTGGATGGGTTTTTCAGGCTACTACTTGAACAAGCAATACCCCTATTTAAAATCATCACCAGAACTCTATTATTTATAGCCTGCCAAAGTGTATGCTGTGGGACATTTTCTAGAAGACTACACTTGACATCAAATACTCAGGAACCATGGCAAGCCCCTCCCACCTGCACATTCTATAGAAATCATAAAATCAAACATTCTCTCTCATACTTAATTTTCAGATGGCGTAAACACATGCCAATGATGCATATATTAAATGTGCTGACCATTGACCTTTCTAATTTTACAAGGATTCAAAGCAGGAACTACAGTGGACAACTTGGGTTTTGAAGGGAAGACTGAGTGCTTTGCACAGACATCATGATGCTCCATCCAGCAGAGCTTTGAACTTAGGCCTGAAACCTATCTTCTGTGATCTTGCTTTAAGAATAGGTCTCTATTTGTTTGAACTGCTGTAATCAGGTGACTTATATCCTGCAGTTGAAATTCTGAATTCCATGGAAGAATGGTACATATTCTATTTCTCCTTAGAACTTCAATAGCATATTTAAAGACCTGAGAAGTTTGTCAACAAACAAAACAAACAAAATTCGAATTTTATTATATCATCTAAATAAGCTTGTTCAGATGGCCTTTTCTTCCTATACTAATCATTAACATCCATGGACCCTTGATTTCCCTACACTTTCGCTTTTCAAAACTTGATTCCTAGAACTGTAGCATCTTTGGCTCCTGGAAACTTGCAAGAAAATTAGAATTTTCCAAATAGGATCTCTTTATATATTCCAAACTGGAGCTCACTGTCTTACTACGTGGCCCAGGTGGACCTCAAACTCACAAATATAGGCATGCACAACCCTGGGCTAGAAACCCAAAATCTTAAGCCCCGCCTTGAGACAGAATTTACACTTCAACCAGATCCCCATATGATTTTTGGACACTGAAGCTAAAAATGTTGCTTTAGGAAGCTCTGGATGAAGTACAGGTAACTTTAGCATTGGTGTGACTGTGATTTTAAAGACATCTATTGTTGTACTTTAATGCCTACTTCACCATAACCACAACTAGTTCTTACTGAATGTTTGCCTTGTATAATTCTCCAAGCAACCCTGTGAGGCACACTCTATTTTATAGATGAGAGAACTGAAACCTGAGCAGCCTACCCAAGGTCACGAGAGGAAGCTGTAAAGCAGCTCTAACTTGGTAAGGGTTCAAGAACCATTAAACTCTATTGCTTTTCTAACCTTGTTTGTGTGCACATTCTTCTTTTGTGTGTTTTACTTTAGGGAATCCCTCGGCCTGTAATGATCTCCCCAAATACACCTGGTCTCAGCTCAAAACTTTCTTCCAAGAAGTTTCTCTGATCCCCCTTTTCCCACTCCCCTGCACCCCCCCAACCCCCTCACCCCTGCCCACCACCCCACCCAGGTCCCGACCCTGCCTTGCACCTATCTTCAAGGCCCACACTCCTATTTCACACATAGCAGCTT